CTGACCTTGAATGAGCGCGTGACCTTTTACTTAGAAATGGTTATCTAGGGTCTGGGGCACTTTGGAGACCAACCTGGAACTTGACCTTGTTTGACCTTTTTGATCCGAAAGTCATGACCTAGGAACCTGAAACCTTGATCTAAGTGATTTCACATACAGGTTAACACACCCTGTAAATTTGGTGTTTCTAGCTTCCTTAGTTCTCAAAATCTCAGCGGGTCAAAATGCCCCCCCCCCCCCCCCCCCCCGGAGCGAAGGGCATCTAGCCGGCCACCCGGGGCGCGTGTTAAGCAAATCAGGCATATATTAAACAAATATCAAGCAAATGACAAGCGGACGCACATTATTCACCTGATAGCGTGATCATCTCGTCAGCCCATCGTCTCATCATGTCACGGTAATAGATGGTGCTAACTCCTGGAGCGCCACTCAGCAACAAGCACTGCTGATCTGGGCGGACACCATGGAGATCAATTACACAGGCTCTGCTTGAAAGCGGGACCAGGGCAGGCCCCATTGATCTGTGTGATCTGTTAGCGGGCTGTCGTTTGCTGACTTCAGCAATGAATATTTTCAGCCTCATCTTACATGATTCTTAATACTGATACGAAGCCCTCCCCTTATTCACACGCTCCTTCAAGTTTGTTCCACTTTTTAGCTGGGAGTGTCGTACCCGTTATTTCACGCTCATTGGTCTTGGCGTATGGTTCTTTGCGTCGCAGAGACATAGGGAGGCAACACCGCTGTCCCCCTGTTCATAGGTAGCGATTTAGAAGAAAAAACTGCTGCATACTGACGATTCAAGATGTGGCGACCAGACGTATAAAATGGGCGGCTGCTCAACTATGACCTTAAATGCTTGCGACACCTTGGCCATATCGTCCAACATTACACCAAGCGAGCTAAGGGAGCGGGGAAGGGGCTCTGGGAAGAACGTCACGTCATTCACCAAATGGAGACGAAAAAACTGACGGGAGGCGGTGAACCATCGTAACGAAAAAACGGCAGACAGCAAGGATAAATGGAAACGGACGTGGGAACAACGAGAAGATTAACCAATACCAAGGTGCCTGCTCTCAGTACCAGCTGTTTCAAACGATGGAATGAGTGCGAGAAGGAAAAAAACGGCATACAAAATCATGACAAAGAACTGTAACAGCAAGTATACACTACGAAGAATCACATATGCAAAAAACGCACAAAAAGCACGGGACAAAGGGATGCAACTCGAGGGAACGCGCATACAACGAAATGCACGACCCAGAAGTGTACGCTCAAAATTGTGCGGATAAGAATGTTTGTACGTACGAAGTTCCGCGGATGCGAATGTCGGGCGCATGAGAATATTGGGCGCAATGATTTGCGAACAAAGAAATGCGTTAAGAATGCATGCAGTACGAAGATTTGTCCTGACACGTAGCGAACCACCTGGAATTTGGACAGCATTGGAACCTGTCTAAGGTCGTTCAGTCTTCTTGGAGGGATCTTAAGCCATTTTGAAGGTCCCAGCTTATCCAGTCAACCCAGCCAGGTCCAATTGGTCTTGTCCGGAGGCAGTTCACCCAGAAGACTTCGCGATCGTGGTGTCGTGACCACTGCTGTCCTTGAGGCCTGGGGCCTCTCAGATGCCTTGGCGCGGTGTGGGGCCAGCAGTCTTGTTGACCCTCGTGATGATCTCGAACATCTGACTTACAAGGACCCTTGAATGTCGAAGTGAATGGTGATACCCTGACTCTGGGCTATCAACGAGTTTAAGCAAGATCTCGTAATTCCACCAGTTACTTCTTCCGGGATCTCCGACAGTGCAAGCAACTCTGTGACGTCATAGCGGCGGGACGCATGTGTTTACCGTTACATGCCGTTGGACCGGCACATAGCGCATGAACTTGTTCGAACAGGGACTGAAATAAAAATGGCCGAAATGCCAACATTACAAGCCATTCCTACAAATAATAACGATACAAATGCATGAATACTGCTAGATTTGCGCCTGCTTGAATTCAAATACAAGATTCGCGTCAAGAATGACAAGTTTCTAAAAGCCAGCCATGATCGGAGTCAACCATGATCGAATGCTGCTACAGATATTTAATCGCGCGTCTTTACGTTTAGCCCATGAGTGCTCAATCCATGGGCGACGCCTACTTCGTCAGGAAGATATGCATATTTTTCTTGCACACATAAAAAGAGTCGCAAAAGGTTCGCATGATAAGTGCACCGTAGCGTGGATACTTTCAGATGTTTTCAAAGTTGTAACGGCTTGATCATTGGGTATTACTTTTACTGCAGCCTAGCAGTGTAAAAGTATTGTTTCGAACAGCCTTCGTCATGGTAACATGTATTGGGTATCAGAACATAAGAGCCTGATTAGCCGGAGTGTTTGGGATGCGCGTGCAATATTCGTGATGCGCTCGTGGTAAGTGACTTTCTAACCAGTAACCACACAAATGGTGTGGGCCACCACAGCCTTCCAGCTCAGCTGCCCGCCTTTCCTGCCGTCCCTGACGTTGTACCGTGTGTCCGGTATTAGGCCGGGGAAGCTGGATGGATCTAAATTATTTGTTGTCTGGTTATTGGCAGTCTTTGCACGGTTGTCGCGCACTTTCGGTGTTCAATAGCATACCGTTTCTTAGTTTCTTTGCGGGTCTCTTATCGCATTGGATAGTTCAGGTCTTTTTAATTAGTTTTTAGCTTAAATTTTAACTAGTTTTGCCTAAGCTGGTTCACTCGTGATCGTAGAAGCAGCTTAAAACGTTAAGTTTTTGTAATGAAACAAATTTTTGCCTCATCACGTCGTTTAAAAGGAAGGTTCCACGTTTGGAGATGTTGAATTAAGCATCAGATTTGATCAAATAGGCTCACCTCTGAAACTCTCTGCATGTTTTTAAGTGGAAAGCTATTCTAGACAATACAATTCCTCTTTTCATTAAATATGTTCCTCAAAATGTCGTTATTTGATGGCATAACCATGCCTTGCACAACATTGAATCTCAGCCAATGGACGGCCGTTATATTTGGAAAGCTCGGGAACGTTAAAAATGAACGACTCGACAGTTATATTTCCCTTGGCGTTGAACGCCACGTTGCAAATGGAATTGCAGGATTTCAATGACGTTATTATGGCGTTATGGATGCCTGAGTAGTCTGGAGATAGTTGTACGAAATAGTCTGCACATATTCGCGGGCACGTAGCTAAAAAACTAGAGGGGTTTAGGATTTTAGAAGAGCAGGGCTGTGAACTGCGCCGATTGGACTTCAAGATGACTTTTTCAGTTCAAAACCCCATACAAACGTGGAACACCTCCTCAAACTAGTTCTTCCTGACATAAGCACTGAAGCTCGCTTGTGTCAGAATAAAAGCTACAAGCTTTAAGTTGCTACGTGCTTGTTTCAGCCCTGGGTGTGACACACAGCTGCGACAGACGGGGTCCTCAGCGGTGCGGGGAAGCGCTTAGACCTGTAGAAGACTAACTTTGGCCTAAAGCCTCTAAAAAAGTGGCCTAAAGCGGGCGCCAGGTTATGTTCTGAGGCAGATAAACTTATATCCGAATTATAACCCTACAATTCGATGTAACTTCCAGGCATATGTGTGACAGACTGGTGTTGAAACATGCGGGGTTGAGATACTGAAGTCAAATCTCGGCACGCGGAGTAGATGAAGGAGCGAAGCCAGCCGCACGGCGTAGGCAAATGACCGTCTACAGACCCCCGAGGGATCAGGTCACCTTCAGTCCGAAGCTTTGCCAGGAATCGGCCAGTGAGCCAACTGCGTCACCTTCCCCCAAACGATCTCGAATGCGATATCTTGTGATGCAAAACCAGGAGAGGTTGAGACACAAAACTACGCAGAGGCGTGCACAATTAACTTCATTGCGCAGCGTACGCCCAGAATACTTCTGTTTTTGCACAACTTTGGTCATGTAAGTCGACACTGCAAATCGCTGTAGACATCGGTTTCGTCGACTGAACTAGTTAAGTCTGACTAGACCTGGTTTAGTCAAGACCGACCAGACCTGATCGAGTCATGTCTGACCGGACGTGGCCAGACCCATAGCCAGCCAATTGTCCACCAACGTGATTTATAAGTTGGAGCGCAGCCGTTACGACAGTGAGCCTCTGCCTGCCGCGCTCTCGTGAAAGATAGACTTTCCAGTGCTATCAGACGACCGGCGAGAGTTCTCAAGGCTGTCTGGCTTCACGAGTTCGTGCTTTATCGTCACCTGCGTGCTTATAATTGGAACTCTTACGTCCGTTATCAACTCGTTCATCCCGCGCCGCACCAGGCAACTTATGAGCATTATTTGTGTCGAAGGCTTAAGTTTTCCCAATGGCATTCTGATGGGCCGTGTCGGACAGCCCGGCTCCAACGGCTCTATGCCGGCTGGTGTAAGACACTCATGGCTTTGAGCATTGCTGAGGCACTGCTGTATCAAATGTCCCGACAAATCGCGTGGTCTCTTATCCCTTTCACATTGCCTCAGACGTCTAATTGCGTGCTTTGTGCTGCTCAGCACAAGGCCGTGTCGTTTTCAACTGTTGCTGGTCGTTTCGTTTTTCCGAGGGAAATGAGGGAAATTGTTTGATGCTTGCTGTAAACTGTTGGTCGCCCTTCAAACGGTTGGCATGACGTCACGAATCTTGTCAACGCTGAGCGCACTGTCATAACTAGCAAGCCCCATAGCATAAGGTGCCGCCGGCGGGGCGCTGCAGCGAGAGCAGCTCGGGAAGGGGGGGGGGGGTCAACCCCAGCAGACGGCCGGAGCTGTGCCTGACAGGGTCTCCTCCCAGATGCCAGTGGAAAGACTGTTTGGCAGGAGCCTTCCCGTTCATGTACACAGCGGGGACACGTAAACCGTCCCGACAGGATTCGACAGGGCTCTTTCAAGGGTCTCTTCCCCCCATCCGAGAGCAAAAACTACGCTCGGCGTCTTCTTCCCAGCGTACATCGGGACCATACAAACCGTGACGGTAGCACAGGTCCCCTCTCTCAGTGGACTCACTCGTTGTGGGGTTGAACAGCGACGCCAGCAGCGCTGCGACGAGTGTAAGGAGCACCATGCTCCCGGCGGAGCCCCTGCGGCCGCTACGAGGCACCAGGCCGTCCACACTGAGGTCACCGGCTCTGCTCGTCGGCAGCGACACCCTGGCGGCCGCTGCCGGAACTAGCAGTTACACACCTGGCGGGTGGCATGAAGCGACTGCATCGAAGTATCCATCTTGACGCAAAGAGGAACTTTTAAGAGCACCAGTCGTGGGTATGAACCATGGAATGTCTCAGCAGCACGCGTGTGTCATGGCGATCGCCGATGACGTAGAACAATATCGCAGAGTGTAGATTAATTGCCTAGAATATCCGCTGCAGGCACCCATTTAAAAGCTTACATAAAGACATCGACCTAAAGACACCTCGCCAACAAAGAGCCACAAGGGCCTGTACTTGCATCTTATTCAAATTATATTTAAGGGTGACGTAGCTGTGTCTAAAACCAGTCGCGCCCGTTAAAATAGAAAATTGAGCTGGCCAATGTAACACCTTCGTCGCATATTGCCGAGTAGCGTTGTTCGCCATTGTGTTGACTGTCTGCTCGCTTGCTGTTGGCACCAGCACCCTTGTTGATAACGGAATTCAGCACGTGGTGACAGCCGCTGCTGCCACTGCCGCTGCCGCTGTTGCTGAGCAGTCCGAAGTTAACACACGGTTGGTCGGAATGTCCTCAGAACTATCGTTCCTGGGGGCATCTCACGCTTAGAGTAGCCAGCCTGAGCGCTATTCTTTCACAAAGGGAGGCACAACACTTCTTTGAATGAAGGTGGATCCACCGGCGTGCGCTTCTTTCTGTCAGCCAGTCATACACTTGGACCAGTGAGGACTAGTTTTCTTTCTAGAACAGTGGAGGATATGGGTGATTTCTAACTCGTCCATTGGCATGTAGCTCTAATGGGTCAAAGTTAAATTCTTCAAAATATGGAACTGGCTGCGCTCATGAGCGCTTGACATTCCTTAGCCCTCCCTAGACTATCTAATTGGTAAAATCACATATTTTCTTTGATATATATTTGATCGCAAAGGCAAAGAGAATGATTCCTAGTAAACCATACATTTCAATATACTGCGATGATTAATAATGCCTTGCAAGTCTTCTTACCTACATCCTAGAACGTTTGCTCTCCGAGCATGGACTGCCTTCAGCAAGAGACAATGTTTCGTATTTGTTCTGGTGTAAGTCTTATTATCATCTGGCTGCTTGTTATTCATGCATTTTTGCCTGATTTCCACGGAACTGAACGTCGAACAAAGCTGAAATAGCATTATCAGCACACCGAACTCTCAAAGTGGGTGGGTAAGTTATTTTCTTTTACTATCGTAGGTCTGTTGATGAAAGGGCACGTGAAGTAAAACATGAGAGAAAATCAAATTGTTCACTGAAGCTCTGATGTTAATATGAGTTATTTTCATGAAGTGGACAGTGATGTAATGGTGTTTATTCCTAACATACTATAGATTAGGCATGAGGTCGCTTGAGTATAAAGAAGATCATTAAAAACGAGCTTACGATAGTTTAAAAAGTAGCTAATCATTGCCCAGGCGTATGCAGCATAATGTTAAATTGCTTATGTTTGTGTATGCAACGTTGTGAAATTTTCATTTCAGGTGAAAGTCGACCCTAAAAGTTTGTCATAAAAAGGTAACGGCTTGTTTTAGTCGCATATAATTTTGCTACCAACTTGCGTCTGCAAAATTAAATAGGTTTTGATCATGCAAAGTAAGCAAAGCGCAGTTCGTAGTTCGCCGAGCAAGCGTGTTTTTTTTGTTTTTTTTCTTCTTGGGTTTTCATCAATAGTTGTAAACGCTCGTACGTCAAGCAAAGAAGTTTATGAAAGGCCAAGTTACCACATATATAACACAATAGAAAATACGTCGTCATCATTACATATCTGCATAATTGTCTGCAAGGTTCTAGCCACAGATCGCATTTAACGCCCCTGTTTTGGAGTTTGTTAAGCTAAGAGGGGGGCAGAGGCATTGCGAAGCAATGGATGCTGACATAAAACTCTCTGTCTCCAGAAAAAGACATACAAGCGCTGCACAATGAACCCCTCAGCAATGTGAGAAGCTCCTCCAGCGAAAAGATTGCTCCCTACTCGGACCATTCGCCTGTCACGAACTCATAGTGTGAACTCACTCATCGCTCACAGGTCGACACCACACTATTCAAATGATTTAGATATACGAGGCCTTTCACACAATACCCTTAATCACGTCGCGCCTTTAAAGGGGTTGTAAAACATAGTTGGAGCTTGTATTTTCCTTATCCATTTCGCTGTACTTAAACAAATGTGTATGGTATGGGATCCTTCATTGGCCGTTCCCTGTGAGCTCCTGCAATTCTGTACCACTCGTCATAATGGATCGCACGAATTCAACATGACACCACCGATGATTACCGGCACGACCTACTCTTCATTCGCACATCGGCGCAACCTAATTGTGGCACATGGGCCATACTGTAAACACATCGTGCGCCGTTTGTACAGCCGCGTGCGGTCATCATGGTTGCAGTGCGCGGCTGGGGAGCGAGCGCCATATATCACCCGACGCCGCGGTCCCGTGTGTGCCGCGCTAAGCCTTCATTACAAAGCACACAGCTGTTGATTGCGCAAACGGCGCGGGCCCGGGCGGGTGGCGTTATTGGCACGGCTTCATGCTGGCGACAGGGAGAGGTGCCAGCTCACGCCCGGTCAGAGACCGCCCGACATGTCAGCACAGACCAGAAACGGTTCATCGACAACAGGTCAGACACGGTCTGCTAACGACCCAATACAGTATGCTAGTTGCATGTAAAAAGACAACATTTCAACCAGCTTGCTTGCATTCAACGGGAGCTACCAGATAAGCTCTATCCCTTCTCAAGCATTCGTCAGACTTCAGAGCGATAGGGATTATCTCGAAAGCTGCTACAAAGTACAACCAAGCTGGGTGACAGGTATTTGTATATTTACTATGATCCAGCCCGATCGATTTCCAAGCACATTTTCTGGGGCTTGTTTTAGCTGAGCATGTCAATGTTTAAGTATAGGTTTTTTTGTTTTCTGTTTTGTTCAGCTACTCCAGCTATCGTGGGCCGGAATTCTCTGGCCGCTTTGCAGCTTGTCGATTTTTCACCAGATGGCGTGGGAAATATGGGTCCACCCATCAAGGAGTGAACCAGGGTCTATTGAGTGCTGGTCTTGAAGTGCTGGAGAATGCTGACCACTTGATTGCATATGCTTACCATTTGGCGTGGAACCAAGCTTTCCGCACAATCTGACAACCGATACCACTAAGCTGCAAAGCGGCCTCAGAATTCTCCTCTCTGACCCATCAAAGCTGGATTAGCTGCATAAAAACACCCTTGGGTCAATACAGACTGGCTCTGTCTGATGAGAGCGTGCCGAGATCATATTTAGATCAGAGGTGGTCCGCTGACAACGGATCAGTTAAGGCTCGGAAAGTTCCATCAGCATCAGGACGACAAATGTCACGATCAATCTTATGGCAATGAATGACGTATGGTAGAAGCGGCATTTGACAATCAATTAAGACTGGGAAGTAAAGAACAACTCTCGATCAAGCATTGTGAAACATGTATGCAGAGCTCGCGAAGAAATGCAGGATCTCTTGTGGGTGGCTGTAAGTAGCTGCTATATGGGAAAACAATTACCAAAGCCTTGACACATACTTCCTCGCGATCAGGGTGTCACTTTTTCAGATCGGTGGAGGGGGGGGGGGGTGCTCAGCCGGTAAGGTTGAGCTAATCTAACCATAATACCTTATTTCTTCCCGGTATCGACCGATCAAATTTATGTTCTTGATGTCAAGAATGATTCGTTTCAACTGGTATGCGGAATACTAACCTGGTTTGCATTTGTGAATTGCCCCCCCCCCCCCCTGTAAACCCCTGTGTGGCCCCCCTGTTTAGCCATATGTCAGGTTCGCGGAAAAGGGGAAAGGTAAAACAAACAAATCGCCTATGTGTAAAACTCCCGTTTATAGACGATGAACCGTGCAAGCACATTACTAAGACACCATGTCTTCACTGGACACCAGTACATCGACATTTCAGGGAAATATTCTGCATATCATCAGTTCAGCATGGGTCTTCGGCCCCCTTTAAGTATATAAAACGACACCCATGGTTGCAATGGTTTATCAGTTACAAATTCTTCTCATCATACCTCTCGTCGGGCGGTCATCACAAGAGCCAATAGGTCTCCGCAGCATAGGACCTTCCCCAGGGATGCAGCATACGTGTCAAAGTCACCTTGACCACCATGAGCTGGAAAAGGCGCATTACACTCTCGAAGCAGAACGTGCGCAGGTCACGATCACACCATCGGAACTAGGCGGATGCTACGACTTTACCCTTGGGACTGAGCGGAGCTCATGACCTCACCCTCGGAACTGAACGGAGCTCATGACCTCACCCTTGGGACTGAGCGGAGCTCACGACCTCACCTTTGGGACTGAGATGAGCTCACGACCTCATTCTCGGAACTGAGCGAAGCCCGTGACCTCACCCTTGGGACTGAGCGGAGCTCACGACCTCACTCTCGGGACTGAGCGAAGCTCATGACATCCCCTCGGGATTAAGCGCAACTTGAGCAAGCCCTCACCGGGCGGCCGCGCGTGGTCTCACTGCCGACCCGCAGTCAGCACCGAGATCACGGCTGTCACCTGACCTGCCCCTAGTGGAGCGCCGCCGCGCCGACACCGCCGGCGCCAGGCGTCGACGCCTGCAGCGGGCGGGACGACTGTAGGAAGGGAACGCGGCACACTCTTGCCTGAGACAGAAGGGGCTGTCTTTCTTCCTTTCGATCTCGACAGGCTATAGCAGGGGGTCCTCTCGTGCAACGCGACCGACCCGGCGGCATTTCACAGGCTTGATACCATAGTGTGTGCGTTCATCGAAACAACGAATGTCAATGCTCATGTTTCATCACAGCTAGCTATACCTACAAGTTAGCCAGTTTGGTCACTGGGTTTGCCTAATTGCTTTTGAGCGTCTAGAGCGGGGTTGATGATTTTCTTATAAAACAGGTCCGGCTGCGCT